AGGATGAGAGGCATAAGGAACGCGAGAAAAAATCGCGAGCCGCAAGCGGTGCATGTTTAGTGACACACAAACAGAAAGAGAAAAATAACTTAAATAAAGATGGAAGGTATGATGAAATATACAAGAAACTTTAAGATCCTGCCCCACACACCGTATGTGCTGTGCTAAGACCAACAAAATATAAAAAAAATTATCTAAGCTATATACTCTGTCATTTCCTGAATTAATCAACAAACTAATTACATATTTTTCAGTAAATATTAATCTGTTATTCAAATCAAGTATTTCCAACGTTCTTAGAGCACTCAAGGAAAAAAAACTTAGGAAATAATTCAAGTTTTCTGAAAAGTACGTGCAAGTGGCCGGCAATAACAAGTTAATCTTTGGTGCTGGCCGCAGTTCTGGCATCGATGAAGAGCTCGATATGGCGAGAAGACGCTCACGTAAAAAGACGCGTTCAAGGTAACTTGGCTTGCAGTAATTCGTCCCTAGGGTAACTCCTGAGGTGTTTTGCCGCTTATGTGTTTTTAATGGCGGAGCTACTCAGCAGATGAGCTTCTTCTGCAGCTTGTGATCACTTTCCCCGCGAGAAATGAGGAACTGTATCCCCAAAGTTATTACGTCATCGTGAGTTTTGTGATGGTCCAATGTAAAAGTTTCCCTCACGTCTGCTGTTTCGTTTAGATCAAAAGCGAGCGTTCATTCCATGCTTTGTTTATAGTTCCGCAAATAAACTAAGCGAGACCTAGACCCGCTTTGTAGTTTTAACACAGTTTAATTTGAGCACAGTTCATAAAATCATTTCTGAATGAAAACGGTATACTCTATTGCTTTTGCGAGAGTATTAAAATTCATCGAGCAGAATGACCCAGTCAATTCAAAATTCTATGCCTAAAGATAGGTCGTGCATCCATGTTATCTCCCTAATCTGCTCCGCCATTTGGGCCGCGGCAGAAGGCATTGCGTTAGCTCCGGCATTTCGCCGCAAGGCAAAATGCAAACAGTAGCGCCTCTACGAATTCTCCTCCGCCTTATCTGTGGCGGGCCATATTTTTCACTTACTTCTTGATCTTGACTTTATCCAGACGCGCTGGTCCTCCGTATATTGATCAGGCGAGCCCGGCAGCCTGGGCGCCTCACACGTGACTGGCTCACTATCTTCTTTTGAGAGAACAGTGAAGTTGACGCCGAGAGAGCTGCCTTAGTGATGAATAAACAATTGAACAAGAGTATGCGTTACACTTATAACGGAATTTCTTGTGTTTTCGATATCACAGATGTCACTTTTTTAAATTTCATACCAGAGTGCGATCGAGCGCGCATTGGCGTTGGTGAACCGTACAATGGAGTATTATTGGTGGTTAAGTTAGTTTATTGTAGGCTAGAACCGGTGGTCAATATTTTTAGCACATGCATGGAAGTTCCTAAATCCGATATGGTGTGGTCGTAGCGTTTGCTGCAACAATCCGCCATTTGTTCGCAACTTTCCAAACCGTTCGTTTGGAAAGTTTATTTATTTGTCATGCTTTATAATATTATTGATCCCAACCAATGCTTTGAGAAAATTATTTATTTGATATTAATTGAGATTTTAGGATTGGAATTTTCGGATTTTTAATTTTTTTAGGATTAGGAATTTTCTTGAGCTAGGATATTTTATTTTCAAAATAAAAGTACTCCCAATTTATTTAAAAATTCATTGTCATATTTCAAAATAAATACTTGTTCCCATCGCGAATATTACTAGATTGATTTATTATTGTTACTCGCTCTATATTCTCCTGTGCATTTCGCATCAAAGCTTGTAATAGTTACTAGTATTTGCGGCTGTAAGCTCAAGCTCTACTCACCACTCTATCTCGGTGATCAGTCCAGCGTGAGGCTGTCAATACGCCTCCCAGTTCTTATTATTTAACTTGGGGTCATTCTTGGTAATCCTGAGCCACATTATGAGAAGTCGCCCTCACTTCGCAAAGACCACAATTTGGCACCCCTCTTTGTCCAAAGACACGTGTGCTCTTCCCAGAGGGCAGGCTTACGCGCGCGACATGTGCGTGGTCGCATTTTGCAGAGCGGTCGCAACCGTCGCATACGTGGACTTACAAAGTCGTGATGCTCCGTATATCCTTGGCGTATATACTGAATATGGGCATAGTTATTGTATATATGCATACTTACTATAAGATTATGACCTCTCTGTTGTACGAGGGAAGTTTGTACTCATTTAATTACTACATGTCAAGATGGGATGATTTTGAAAAAAAAAAACACGGTAAAACAGTATGTCTTTGCTTATAATTTTCTAACATTACAAGCATCACTTCATCATTCAACAGTAAGCACTGTTCTTCAAAATCTATCAGGTTTAATGGAATTTTTCTTTCATTTGGTTTTCTTCATGCAGGCTCCACTAGTGTCGTTCCCGGCTACTCGTTATTTGAACCCTTCTCTCGAGTGAATTTTTCCAACGTAAGATTTCGATGGCCGAGGCTCATTTTATCTGAGAATACGATATTTGTACAGGCCCCGCATCACCCTTTTTTAATATCCGGTGGAGATGCGTGACGTGATTATCCGGTACTTTAGAACCTGGCACGCGCGCCCGCCATCTTCCCGCCACGTTCGATCGACTCAAATGCCGGACCAAATCAACGGAAATCTGTTTGCATTGCCTCAACCCTTAATCAGGTCTATCAACTTGCAGAAATTAACAAGGCATCAATCAGATGAACGAGCAGAACTATTCCCTCAATAATTAAATGGATCTCTTGATCTCCGGCGTTTGCGCCCGTGAGCTTTTAATTAAGACTATTCATGTACTCAGGAATAATCTGAAAAAAGTTCTAGTAAGATGTGGTGCAATCGAAGCATCTACAGTACTGTTATCTTATTTATTTCATTTGAAAATTAAGGATAGTTCAACGCTCCCGATTTTCCCCTTTAGTCCTAATCAGTACCGGGAAATTATAAGAAAGTAATCAATCCGAGAGTTCTTATGTTATATTAAAAACTATAAAAAGCTTATTAACTATTGAAAATTTATCGTTTCACAACGTTCTTGATGTGTAGTTGACGCGAGTTGTTTTCATAAACCAACTGTTGAACGGTTGAGATTACGTAGCAAAAATTTCTTGATGTAAAACTTTATCAAATTTTGAAAAATCGCCTAGTATTGTATCTAAACTCACAGGCCGGTCGGTCTGCCCCAGTGGTTCCCAAACTTCTTCAGGCTGGCGCCCCCTTTGGCTCCCTAGTGAATTTCTAGCGCCCCCCACAGACATACGCCTCATTCTTGAAATTTAGTACGGTGCAATTTTAAACGATAAAGGATAAACACAAATGTGTATTTGACAAATAGAACCCCATTTAGTAAACCAATATGTTTTTCAGCTCTTTTAACTGTTTCAGCTCTAGAAACCTAGGACGTCGCGGACGAATTTAGTCGAATTTACGGCCGGACTCATGGGCGGTCTCACGACCAATCTCCAAATTCAATTATCAAGTAATATCTCCCAAACTAATGAAAGCAGCTCTTTGAAACTTGAAACACTTATCTATCAGAACCTAACGGTGATGTTCAGCTCGTATTTTTTTTTTTAATTTCAGCTTCATTCGTGAGTTATGCGTATATTGTGAAATAGGCCGGAATTCGTAGTGAACAAAAAATTTCTTCCAAACTATTGAATAGATTTGAACGAAATTTTGAATATACATTCCTAACTACCAAACGGTGATTTTTTAGCTTATAACATTTTTTCAATTTTGCCTTCATTTGCGAGTTTTTTTTTTCATTTTGCCGTCATTCTTGATTTCACACTTCATTATATTCCACCCGTATCGCCAGGCTGCGTATCTACGGCTGCGCACCCATGTGCTGCATGTGTTGTGTACAAATCGTCAAACAAACGTTCGAACTTCTGACATTGCCTTCGGAATACCGCCCCCCTAAAGCCCTCTTCTCTATTACCGCCCCCCAAAATCTTTCCTCCGCCCCTAGGGGGGCGATATCGCCCACTTTCGGAACCACTGGTCTGCCCATCCGCGCCCAACCGAAACACTGGTGTGTAGTGTGGTTGATCGCTAAGGAAGTCATTTCAATCGATTTAAGTTGACGGCAAACTCAGGTCCATGATGCCCAAAATATTCTTTTTTCTTTGTTTACGGTAATATTTGTAATTTATTTTTAATTCATGCTCTTCAGCACATATTGGCCGATCATTAAATACGAAAAATTAATAACGACAGTTGATTGTGCAAAAAATTTTGCCAAAGAAAACAACGGTCATGCAAGTCTCATTTCTATCCTAAATACAAAAAGCATCCTTAAACAACGTTGGCATGGATCAAGTGAAGATGAAAACGCGTATTTAAAACTGATCCGTATCAGTCTTGCTTAACAATCCTGAAGTATGTCAATGTACTAATAGATGCCAAGGCTCAATGGGGATATTTGACAAATCTCCTGTTTCTCGCTAAATGAACCTTTCTATCACGGTTAGGACTTGTAATCATAAACGTTCTTCAAAATTAATGAGTCGTCATCTGGCATCACAGTCAGCAAGGTCTAGAGAATGTACGCATGATTTGCTTGATCATTTTAGGACCATGGAACTCATTTCAGAAGTCAGGGGCTGAAACTTTTCCTTGGTGACAGCTCAATTCTAAGAAAGAACGCATTGAAATGAGAACGCCGACCGAGCGCGAGTTCTGCTATAGCACATCGGGACGAGTATCAAACGAATTGTTTCAACCCAGCAGATGTTTGGCAAAGACGCGCATTTGATAAGCGAAGAAGTCTCCCGTCGTACAACGGTAGACTTTTTAGCAAGGCCGTTAATATGATAGTGCATCAATATTATACTGATGTAAAGCAGACAATTATAAATAAAACATCAGAATTCTGAGATAAATTAGGGTGCAATTCTCAGGTAGACGAATCAAAACGCGCTACTCCTAAATGCGGCGGTTTCCCACCAAGACGCGAGGGAGAAGAACAACTCTCGACACACGTTACTGTACTTCATATAAAGTCGCTCAATTGATACAAGGAAATGTGGAATGTAAATATTACACGATCATAAAAAATATTGAGAAGAAACACGAGCATGATAACAAATGTATAAATAGTCGAATAGAATCCAAGAATGTCACACTAATATTAGGCCTTTAATTGACAGCCATGATTGCTCGAGGCAGAGACCCACAGGCACGAAATTGAGCCGGCACCTCACAGCTCTGTTGATATTCTGCCTTAGTTTGTTAGTTGAGAATTAAGGAGCTAACAGTCAAACACTCAAATTAAAACTAACCAGAAATTCGTTCGTATATTAAGGATTGTAAACGCAGATTGTTGCTGAGAATGTGCACAATTTCTGATAGTCGTCCCAGAGGTAGTATGAAATTATTTCACTTCTAATGAAGAAAGCACGCTCTACGAACTACATTCCAAATTGCATCGACTGAATCAATGACGATCAACAGCAACACTTAACAGCTTTCTAGTCGTAGGATGTGAGGCATAAGAAACAACATTATGGCGTACGTAAATTCTTCGCGAATAGCACAACAAAAATTGCGTCCAGTAAAATCGGCCATTTCCATAATTATCAAATTAAAATTACATCAAACATTACAAGGCGAGCAAAATGAGCACTTTCGATGACATAAGACCAAGTAACTAGATAAATCGTATTTTTTCGACAAGAAAAAAAGATTATTTTCCAAACTATATACTCCCCAGGAGACAAGAAATAGACAATAAAAGCACATTACGAAAAATTCGGCAGAACCTGAATTTATTCGAGTGCACATTTTGGACGCGATTCACACAAGCACACAAAATTAGAAAAAAATTAAATTCGACCACCTTGTCGTTACAAACAAGCTACCACAGCTGTCTACTACTGCGCACCAATAATCCCAATAGCTACATCGCCCACTAAGGACACAATTCAAGTACGGTTTACAAATAAAAAAAAATCAATAGGCCTGGGAACTCATCGGCGAAAAAAAAACCATGCCCCACCCAAAAATGTTTTACAAAATCAGAAATATTGAGGTTTGTTCCATTGGCCGAGGCACAACAGGTAAGCAAATTATTCGCAATCGAATATATAAATAGTCGATGGTAATTACAATAACAATCAATTATTAAGGAAAAATAAATACCAACATTCATGCAGTTAAATGATCGATGAAACTATCGGTCCAAACCAATTTACACAGCAATGCAATCGCCGTCAACATAGTTCAACTTGAAGATTCATCCACAACATAAAAATTGTTAAAATCAAATCGAAGAAATGGTCAGTTAGATGACTTAGATCCATATAATTCTAGCACGTCTTCTGTGCGAAAACCCCTATGATCGGCCAAGGATGGCCGCACGTTATTACTTCTTCCTACAAACAGACGCAAGTTCACACGACGCGAACTAACTTCAAGGAATGGCACGGCCAAAATGCATCAACTCTGACTAATTGACATGAAGTACTCAATAGTTTCATCATCTAAATATTTTGTATCTTCTGCTACGAACGTGGGACGATTTCTAAGGCTATCCACGATAATGTCGAGGCACAGAGAGTAAGGCACAGTGGAAGAAATGGTGAAGTTTGAATCTAATCATGCTCGCTCGCTTGCTCTTTCGCAGACTCAAATTAGTTCAAGTCGTGCTTAATTCACACTCCACGTTCTATGATTCAGTACAAAATGATTCGATTAAGAAAAAAATCATCATTAGAGCACACCACCACAATCTTCAATCATAACGTCATGTTTAGATAAATTGACAGCTGCAGCTTTCTTGACAACATCCATGCCGTCAACGACTCGTCCGAATACGAGGCTGAAGGAGAACTTTTTAAACTCTCTCTCGGCGCACCAAACCATGAATTGCGACCCTACCATACCTCTACCGTTTTCACTAGTGCCATTTCCTTTAAATCTTATCATACCAACTTCATCTTTAAGAGGACACAAATCTGCTTCGAACTTAGCACAGTTAAAGATGGAATAGCCTCCTGTGCCGTCATCGTTTTCAACATCTCCTCCAGCCAAGAACCCGTCACCATTCTTAAAGAAATGCGTGCCTTTATAACCATAACCTGGTTTGTTAGTACAAAGGCCTAAGAAGTTCTCGCACATCTTCGGCGCCTTATCGGGACGAAGCTGAAACACGATTCGGCCGATGGGCTCTCCATCCACCGTAACTTTCATCCAGCAATGAGGAGTCTTTATTTGCTTCACTTGTGCAGGCAATTTGTAAACGTCAGTTTTCGGTTGAGGTTCTGGTTGAGGCTTCGCTGGTTTTTTTGCGGCATCGAGATAAGAAAAAGGCTTACTTCCTTTATCCGAAGATCCCGCAGGGGACTCGGCAGCCAAAGGTACCACTGCGCCAATGGGAGGAGTAACGGAATGGTTTCTACGAGGCGAAGGAGCAGATGAGTGCATACCATGGGATTCCTCTGGCTCAATAGAAGCGCTGCCCTCGAGCAGAGATTTCTCTAAATCGACAGCCTCTATGTCTTCAGCATCATTAGCCAAATGGCATATATTACTGAGGCCTAATGAGGCTGAATGATCATTATATTGATGTATGTCTGCTGAACTGGGATTCTCTGCTTCTATAGCCTCAGTTGTCTGCAATAGACACGTAATGTCCACTTGTTCCATGCTATTCCTGAGCACATTAACATCGTGACCATTCATGGCCGCCATATCAGGCGTTCCGGACGATGACAAGACCCCGTTACTCATGATTCCGGCATCGGAAGGAGACTGACTGCTGGAGCCATGAGCCTCCTGAGGCATATTATCGATTTCAGTAGCATCACAATTACCGAAGGCAGAGAATGCTTTATTCTGCTTGACCCGCGAGCCTAGTAGATCGGCCACCATATATTGGAGCAACACGTTAGCGTAATTACCACTAAGGGCGTGTTCTTGTAGACTTTGCTCCATGCGGAACATTTCGTTCTGGCGGAGGCCGATTTTGAAAACCTGTGGCAGAGATTCTTGGTGCAGCCGCAGCATGAGCGCCTCAACAGCTTCGTTAACGACTGTAGAATTGTAACATTGCGTGTGCTGATAGCTGATGTTGTTAGCACATCTTTCCACCTGAAAAATAGATGATCTTATCAACATCCAATCCATAACGCTAACAATTTTGAATCTTAGGCGATATAAAATTCTAAGCCAATGTCAAAGGGATTGAAACCTCACTAGTCACTGGAGACTCAGGGCGTCAGATTAACAAACCTAAATTATAATCGGACAGAGTTCAAATATATAGAGTAATAAGAACAATTTCGTACCGATTGAAAAGTCCTTAGAAGCTCCGGATAAGTCAGGGTATCCATGCGCAACATAAGGGCGTTAAGGTCGTTCAGGGTTGAAATGAGTACGTCTTCTTCCAGAGAATCGTGCTGCAGCTGAAATAGATGTAAAGTACTCGTGAAGGATGAAGTAATTTTCAAAGATACATTTCCTAGATACAAACAGAAACCATAATCATACCAGCAGTCGATGCTAAATTATAATATATCAGCAAAACAGAGCGATATTTTAAAGCTCGAATTTAAATACTTCGAAACGATGATTTTTAACAAGTTATTAAAATAGTCCTGGAACTCTTAAACCGATTTCAATAATTAAACATTTCAAAATCTTTACAACGTTAATCTGACTACATTATAAACTGCTCCTATTATTCATATTATTGATACGTATGATACGGGTAATTATAAATTAACGTTTCATACTAGACTTTACAACACCCCAATCTAATATTATGACGTTAAGAGAGCGCTTTCCGTGTTTTGAAATGCTTCTGAAAATGGGCCTTAGAAGAACCTTAATGAATTCCAAACTTTTATAAGGCCCTTGAACCACAGCTTCATTTGCATTTCCCAACATTGTTATCATTTTTATGAACCTCTTCAAAGCGATCTGTATATTAACGAAAACGCCCAAAATTACGTCAGTTTCGAGACATGGTTAGGACCCAACCTTAGTCTTGAGCTCCTCGGTGAACTTGGCCAGTGACTGCAGGGTGCTTTCAACTCGTTCCTTGATATTGGCGCGCATCTTCATGACCTGCCTGAGCACCACCAGGATCTTTTCAACGTTGGGACGGAGTTGAGCGACCATGAGACGAACAGCTTCGTCGCTGGCCACTAGAGTGTGGCCCTCCTGGCGACACTTGCTTACAGGCTGGTCTTGCAGCGTTCCCGTACAGGACGCGCACACCTCGCTCGGTCTGCTCAGATAAATATTTTCGTACAAACAGTTATTATTAATCAATGAACAATATGCAGTTATTTCTCAGAAGGTAACGTGTCGTCCAACATTCGATGAAATCGCTTAGTCAAAAATATTTTCTATTGCATCATCGTCATCTCCCGTATTATGTTAGTGATCAACATCAAGCAATAAGTTTGAGCGAAGACGAATTCGATATCAGAATCACGCATCAGTTACGAACGATAACGCTATAATCAAACCCCAATGTGGGTGGTAAGCGGAATCATATCCAACTATATTACTGCTCAAAAAGTTTGGCACGAAATCCCGAGTCTGATGGAAAATTAGGAACTCACTGCACGTGTCCATTAGACGCTGTCGCACCGGTGCTGTCCTGGACATTCAGGTAGCCTTGGTTGGTAGTCAGCCCTGCCAAGAATGAAAATGATTTTGTAAAAGTAGTTTTTCATGGAGACCAGTTTTCCAATCAGCAAATTTCTTAGGCATTTCCGGTAATTAAAGGAATTAAAAGTTACTACAGGATATGAACAAACAAAGCTCCTGATATGGGCGAAGAAATCCAGCAGTTATTTCAGCCTCTATCCAAAAATGAATACAAGATATTAAAAATTTTTCAAAATGGATTATGATTGCAATTCATCACCCACCAGCAAGGCCAGCCTCAGTGAGCTGAGTAGAAACTCCGCAATTTCCAGGGCATTGAATGAGCCCAGTGGGAGACGTGCTTGCCATGAGGCACGATAAGCAGTAAGTGTGGGTGCAGCATAAAATTTTAGGAACGCGATTATTCAAGTTGAAAGGCTCCAGGCACATCTGGCACCTGTGCGGCATTGCATGGTTGTTCATTGCCAGAGTATTGGTGGTGCTGCTGCTCGTGGTGAAGCTATTCGAGTTCATTGCCAAGCCGTTGCTCAGAGTTGAATTGATCTTAGGATATGAAGAATTGGTTAGTCCGCTCGATGATCTTTTCATGTCCAGTATATTGGATACCGAGGAGTTTTGTAAGCCCAGTCCACGATTAACATCCAAAATTCCCGGACCCAGATTTACGTTTCCGTTCAGAAGCGATTGTTGTTGTTGTTGCTGCTGCTGCTGCTGAAGTTGATGTTGGTATAACAAAGCCTGAAGCTCTGACTGCTGAATATGTTTCTGTTTCAATTTAAGAATGAGCTGTTGGTCTTCAGTGAGACTGTTAGTGGCGGCTTGAGTTGCGTAAATTTGGTTCTGCAACGACTCCAGATCCTGCTGTAGTCGATTGGAATGCGCAACAAGCGTGGGATTCTGAGGCTGGGAAAGCAGCAAGGATCGTACTTGGTTCAGTTGATTATTAACTTGATTGGCTTTTAATACTAAGGCGTTGACGTCATTACTATGGAGGTTGAAGGTCGTTTTTAATTGATCGTTACGGAACTGCTCATTTAGATAAGCAGCTTGACTTAGACCGTTGTTTTTGTGAGCTAAAAAACCAGTATTATTTCGGCTAGATTGAGCAAGTTGAGATTGAGTTTGTAGAATGCCACCATTACTCTTGCCAGCATCCACTTCTCCCCAGGGGCTCGACACTATCGTAGATTGACTAGCACTAGAAGTGGCGGTAAACTGGAAAGGAGTAAGAGCACAGCCGTGGATTACGTTATTCGTAGTCCCGGTAGCACTGCTACTGACGATACCTTGTAAACCGTTACTCGCACCAACTGGTGCAGCGTTAGCGGCGTTACCTTGCAGACTGTTAATAGTTGTTGAACTACCATTAATAGTAACGCCACTGTCTGCGTCAATACTTAAAGCATCACTAAGGCCAGATAATTGAGCAACACTTTGACTATTGGCACCGCCTGAATATTGCTGATATTGAGCTGTAGGAGAAGAGTGTGAAGAGCCCAAGCTCTCCGCCTCGATACACTGAGCTATTTCTTGGTCCAGCAAGTCGTACTGCAGAGAAACAATTCAAATTAAAAAATGTAATCTTCATGGTATTACGTCTTTCATATCATTCATTGTCTACTTAAATAGCACGACTTGTCTAGTAAAATATCAATCTAATTATAGTGCAATAAACATTCAACAACACAGGAATAAAACAGCAACGAATAAACAGAAAAACAGTTTTGACTTGTGACCTCTGTGGCAAATGCCTTCCTCGTATTGAAGTACTTCTAAATGGACTTGATTATTTTCATCTTCAACACCTAATAAATTTTAATTGTTATTCCATGTTATATTAATTAGGAACGCGGTGTTATATTAATGCCCCCTGCACCAATATTTGCTTTTCAATACGCCAAACGCAATGAAAAATAGATATAAACAATGAGGTCATGAGTTGATGCGATTGATTTAAATACTTCGTATCAAGGAATTGAGATTTTGCAAAAAAGACATTTCATATGAAAAAATTTTCACCACCCTCAGGATGCAGTTGCAACTCACACTAAAATTATCATCAAAGTCGTCAAGTGTGCCAACTCCTCTCCCGATGGTGGCTCTCTTCTTATTGGCAAAGTGACCGCTCACAGAAGCTTTCTTGGGATTGATTGCAGGCTGAACAACCATTTCTGGCGAGTGAAAAAGTTATATGAATTCTTTAAATGCACAAATGCAGAGCTTCAAAAATATGATCTCAAATGTAATGGAAGAGTATGAAAATGCAGTGGAATGAGTTCTCAGTAGAATCAATCAATCACGAGCTCTCAGTAGAAAAATCAATGGGAAGAACGTACCATTCAAGACATTATTACCATTTCATTAAAAGTTGAATTGAAATCATGGCTGAGAGTAAATTAAAGGATTTGCATAGTTTTCTTCAATTTAGAATCAACTTTTCAAACAATGTATAAAAACCTAGCTAATTAGTGATATTCACACACAAGTTGCTTAATTCTTGGGAATATCACGATTACAAAATTTGATAAAATATCATGGGAAATCATAATAATGCTCAAGGATCGCAAATTTTGGTTGTGGACTTAGCAACGTTCTCACTAGTCTAAAAAACAAAATAAGTGTCTTAAAAACAATACGAGTGCCGTACCTTTGCCATTGAGAAGATATTTATAAAGAGCTTTCATGGCTCTGACACCCTCATCCTCACAAGCCATGTGCTGTACCAGTTAATCACGCATGTAGCAGTGGAATGTCACATCAGATGACGGGGGCACACATCAATTACAAATTTGAGCACAACCAGGAGCAATGGTGGTCACACGTTTTATTTATTACATTCAGAAAAATGTAAAAGCATGTTCAAACAATTAAGACAAGTGCACAATCAGAATTAATTTGAGAATGGGGACAACAAATATTGTAGGTGAAGGGACAAAAAATCAAGTGGATATCACAGGGAGAAGTCGTGCGGGGTTTGGAAGCGAGATCAGCAGCAGCACGAGAAGGCACAGGGCGGCAACGCAGGGGCACAATCCAGGAACGCACATGCAAAAAATTAAAATAATGAAATTAGTTGCAAAAAAAGTAGATCTCAGTATCAGATCTATGAAATAAAATAATCTGTGCAGTTTATGAACATATACTTGAATAACCTGCAAGAAAACTCTAGGTGAACTACACTAACAAAAAGCTATACCAAATACATATGAATCTTCAAAATTTAAGCAAACCATTAAAATCAATTTAAATATTTAAAAAAGTGGGCAAGTGCCAAACATGAGAAGTGCAAATACATTGCAGTATGAATGTGTAATTTAGAATTAATTTCACTTGCAGATACTACAACCATAGAAAACCTAAACATCATGTATGTGTAGAAATGCTGAGGACTCAACAGGAAAGAATTGAGCAGTCAGAGCAATAAAAACAATGCTACAATTACCTGTAAGCAAAAAAATTCTCACTAAACTGAATAAGGATAAGAGGCAGTGTACGTGTTCAGCAAACTAAAGGGTTAGAGAAGCAGAAGCACACTGAAGTTTGATAAACAGACAGAGCTCTCGACACATTTCAAGATAAACCAATGTACCTGATATCTTATCACATTGACTACTGATAACTAAATCACAGCTTACACGTCGGGGCTAAATAAGACCCTACAATAGTGAATCATGCAAACAAACTTCAGAATCTCAAGTTCAAAACTTGGTATTGAATTCATTATTGAAACTTAGTTTTATAGATTCATAATCAGCAATCAGCTTTTCTTTATCACGTCACAACTACATGAAACTATAGCTATCAGGTGATACATTAAGATCTATTTTCAGGAAATCATTGTCAGCTAACAGACTGATAATAGTGAATCTTGCAAACAAACATCAGAATCTCAAGTTCAAAACTTGGTATTGAATTCATTATTGAAAATTCGTGGATTGTAGATTCATCATCAGCTATCAAGCGATACATTAAGATATATTTTCATGAAATCATTGTCAGCTAACAGAAGTCCTGACAATAGTGAATCTTGCAAACAAACTCCAGAATCTCAACTTCAAAACTTGATACGACTTCATCATTGAAACTTTGTGGATTGTGGATTCATAATCAGCAATCGCCAATCAGCTTGCCATTGTCAGATCCCAATTACATGAAGCTATAGCAATCAGGTGATACATTAAGATATATTTTCATGAACCCATCATCAATAGACCAGAGAATTAAATTACTTGGATTCTAAAAACCAAATTCAACTAATGTAAGACAGCAATAACAACTAAGTAAATAAGAATTAACATAAAGGAAGCATTACAATTATTCTAAGTATAGTAAGTCAAAATTTGACCTTACTTTCAAGAAATGAACTCAGGTTGATAAATGTAGGGAACTCTTGCTCAGTTTATCAACTAGTGGATTTACTACTACACATAATATCAGCCTCAAAAACAATTTGAGTCAGTACAGTTAAAGCAGGGAAAAGATTCACTGTGCCATCAATGCCATTTACAAGCTTCCTCAAGACAAGAGTGACTATCATTTGCAATCTACAGAATTTTTTAAACCTAAATCTGCTAGAAGCGCAAAATAACAGTTGACTAGAGTTAATGAAACTTGCTTAACATGACAAAAATATCATGTGAACTGACCACAAAACCGAAGCCTTTGGAGCCAAGTGAGACTGCTTCAATGACATCACCATATTGTCCAAAGACACGCATAAGATCATAGTCAGAAGTATTGGGTGCCAAGTTTCCAACGTAGATCTTGTATGTAGGCCGACCACATTCCTTAGTCATGCTGCACAGAAAAAGAAATGACTTGTACTTCAACAAGCTCCAAGAAATATTTAGAACACAAGTCCTACTTAAAGCAGCAATCACTTTGAGATTTACAAAGAACTCAACATTCTCCCTTAAATGGATCTTGAGATTGTTAACCTCAAATTTCTACTAATTCAAAAAGCTCGAATATCAAAGAATTCATGGTATGAATTATGTACTTTTTATTTACCTCAAGCCTTTCTCCAAAAATAGAACCTCATGACAATTTGTGCTATGTAACATGTTTATAAAATAAAAAGGCATCCAGAAAAAGCCTTTGATGTTAAAAATTATATACCATCAAATGGGGTAAAAAGGGACGGGCGGGGTAAATAGGGATGCGCGTCCCACATTTCGTAGACATGTTGTAGCAGCTAAACTAATCAAAATATGGCAAAACTAAAAATAATGGCGTAAACTTCAACATTTTTACTATCAATTATGTATAAAGCTAGCCAAGAATTCAAACATTTACTATCTCCAAAAAATCGCTGAAAAAAAGTGTGAAAAGTGCGATTTTGGAAAAGTACCTCTGCTAAGGTCTGGAGCAAAAAAAAATATTTGCCGTATTGAAAAATTTTACTTGCATAAAAGTTGCACCCAGGTGTTGGCTTGAAAACGTAATTGACAAAATTTGCCTATCTCATTCCCCAAAAAATGGCAGTCATTTCCGCGCAGCGGGGTAAAAAGGGACACCCCCCAGGGTAATTAGGGACACCCTTAAACATGCATTTACAGTAGAACCTCAGTTAGCAAAGGCTCCAGTTAACAAAAAAGTTTATCAACAACAAAAAATTTTGATTACATTTACCTCGCTTGGCAAAAAAATTCACTTATTGAAAAATTAGTGCATCATCGGTCATCACAAAATTGAACATAGAATGCTATATATAGAATTGTGCACCGGGCATCATGGAATGAAAAGTAATTGACATAAACTATGATTTATTTCTTCAAAACATATGATGGTAGTCACTAAAACATTATTTTCTGTTTCAGGTATGTTTTCACGATCTTTTTTGTTATAGTGAAATCACTACACTTGATTAAAATTGTGCGAAATTACAAACCATCCAGTAAGCTTACAGATACAGAAGAAATGCTACATGGCTGCTGATATGAAGCTTGCAGTGGACAAGGTTGTTGTCAATGCTACATGGCTGCTGATATGAAGCTTGCAGTGGACAAGGTTGTTGTCAATGCTCAATGGCATGTCCATGGATACAGAAATATCACAGTAATAATGCGGTAATTAATGAATATGGTAATATCATATCAATAAAGGAAAAACAAGTAAAAATCACAGAAAATGTCATTTATTTTACATCTACATCATCTACAATGAAAGAGGAGGACTTCAAAGTACTGTTAGTAATAGATGAGTACACTCTGCATGCTTCAAATGTTTGAAATAGAGTTTTATTTCAAGTGTCCCTTTTTACCCCATTTCAAGATTGATTCAGGAGCCATTTATATTGCATCTAGCGCCTTACAAATAGCATATGGAATTTTTTTGAAGATGCCATTCGATAGCCCTCGCAAAGAGCTATAAAATGAGCCTAAACTTGATTCTGAAATGTTTCATGGTAAGAAGTTATTAACAAAAAACGCTCAAAACCGTCCCTTTTTACAACGTTTGACGGTAATATATCAATAAAAACAAACCGATAATTTTCTAAGTGACTTTAGTGAATACTTCAAACAAGTGTAACAAAACAAAAGTTTCATGAACTATGCTTTTTTTAATGAAAAGTAATTGACCTAAACTATGATTTATTTCTTCAAAACATATGATGGTTGTCACTAAAACATTATTTTCTGTTTCAGGTATGTTTTTCATGATCTTTTTTGTTATAGTGAAACGCTACTCGATTAAAATTGTGCGAAATACAAACCATCCCGTAAGCTTACAGATACAGAAGAAATGCTACATGGCTGCTGATATGAAGCTTGCAGTGGACAAGGTCGTTGTCAATGCTCAATGGCATGTCCATGGATACAGTAATATCACATTAATAATACGGTAATTAATGAATATGGTAATATCATATCAATAAAGGAAAAACAAGTAAAAATCACAGAAAATGTCATTTATTTTACATCTACATCATCTACAATGAAAGAGGAGGACTTCAGAGTACTGTTAGTAATAGATGAGTACACTCTGCATGCTTCAAATGTTTGAAATTGAGTTTTATTTCAAGTGTCCTTTTTTACCCCATTTCAAGATTAATTCAGGAGCCTTTTATATTGCGCCTAGTGCCTTACAAATAGCACATGGAATTTTTTTGAAGATGCCATTTGATAGCCCTCGCAAAGAGCTATAAAATGAGCCTAAACTTGATTCTGAAATGTTTCATGGTAAGAAGTTATTAACAAAAAAACGCTCAAAACCATCCCTTTTTACCCCATTTGTTGGTAATGTATCAATAAAAACAAACCAATAATTTTTTAAGTGACTTTAGTGAATACTTCAAACAAGTGTAACAAAACAAAAGTTTCATGAACTATGCTTTTTTTAAGAAGTGTTTTGTTTCTGGCTGAACTCAATGGAATAAACTTCTGTCTGATTAAGTAATGCATAGATATTCATAATTTTGTGATGGAAACCAGGAACCTCCTTTCAATGTGATATTTATTGATAGCTTTGTTACAATTGTCTAAGCACCAATTGTCAGCTAGCCCCAGCCACAGTAAGATTTATTTCCATATTTCACTTGGAAGTTGATTTGATCCACGATTTATTGAATTTGATGAGCAATTATTTTGTCATAAGATTGTTTTTATTGTGATTTACTGTTTTGTATGCAAATAAGCACTTGAGCATTGTCAAGGCAAGTATGGCTACGTTGCCATCTTGCACAAGCAAGCTGGTCATCTTCAAGCAATATGGTACATAAATACTTGATTATAACCTGTAATCATGTTGCCAAAGTGTTAAGCTTTTTATTACTGCAATTCTATTATAATATAGGTATTATTTTTAATTGCACTTTGATAATGATTTTAGTCAAGGTTTCATATATCTAGGTGAAATGCTACAAAATTCATGACTCATGACCTTGCAAGTTAGGTATCTTTGAGTTTTTCTATCAAATACCAACTTTCACCTTTATTATTATTGGCTTTATATGTGGTCAAAGGATTCAGATATGATTCTACTTTGCTATACATTATATCATTTTTTTTTTTTGCATAGATGTTAACAGCCCATTTTGCGTACACTTTTAAAGAGGCATTTAAGGATTATTTTAGTTAAGTTACCCCTGGCAGACAAATTTTAATGACTCAGTATGGCTGGGTTGAGGTTCAAGCCTTTTGACTCAAATTACAAGAGCCAGATCTGGGCAACAAAAAATTGGCTGTACTTGTGGAAATCTTAAAAGCCTAACCAGCTCAGAGCATTTTTTTGACCAAGCATAAGCAAGAGATCCACCAACAGACAAAATATGGCAGAGTTCTAGGTTAGTCCCAGCTGCTGGCAGAGTTTCAATGCAGCTAATAACTAATAGTATGCACCCTCTAGTCATAGGGGCTAATACCTGCTGCATGAGAGTATTTGGAACAGTGGCTCATTGGGGCTCATACCCATGGTCATGCTTTTTGGGCATAACTGCCATCTAACCCTTTGCTTTCCTCAGCAGTGTATTGGCACTTGTACCCTCAGTAACTGAGACTAGCTCATTCTTTTGCATCTGAGGTGTGGCTCATTCCCATATTATTTACTTTTCCCAGCAGTGTATTGATGCTTGTTCCCTCAGTAACCTTAACTGGCTAATTCTTCAGCATCATGGTGTGGCTTGCATATGGTACCCATTTAATTTGCCTTTATCAACAGTGTTTTGGGGCTTGCATGCTGTTGTTAGTTACTGGGGTCTGCTGCTCAGAAGCACCTCAGTAAAAGCGGTGGCTCCAGGGGAGATGGAGGGAGCAGAGGATCCACTACAAGGATGTTGGAGAAGGAAGGGAGTGATGCGAGGAACGCTACTGTCTGTCCAGGGTTAGGCCAGAGGTCCAGTGGGGTTAGCAAGGTGGGGTGCAATGGGCAGCTGAAGAGGTGATGGGTGGTATGATCCATTGCACCACACCTAGGGCAGAGAGGGCTATTTGCTGCACTAAGTTGGTGCGGGCACGGTACAAATTGAGTCACGGTGAGTAGCCAGAGCTGAGCTGGGAAAGGGTGCTTCTGGCTGCTTTGGAGAGGGCTAAGTGACCCTAAGGATCTTCAGAGCCCAACAGAGTTGAAGGTCAGACCCTTCCCAGCTGACACGAGGGTCAGTTTGAGATTGGAGGGTGTCAGAGGTGATGAGGGTGGTGTGAGATTCAGGGATAGATACAGAAAATCCATTCTGACGGCCAATGCCAGCACATCAGAAGAGTGGGAGGAGAGGACTGCAGACATGTCAGCAATCTGCACAGCCCCTGCAGCGGTTGTGAAGTCGTTTGCATACAAGATGGTTAAAGGAGCAGACTGGGGATAAGTCTGAAACATAGGAATTGAAGAGGAAGGGTGAGGTGATTAAGCCTTGTGGGACTCCAGCATCGATTGGATGTGGGGAGGAGATGCAGTTGTTATAGGAGCACCTGGCCAACCTGCCTTTGATGTAGATCAGCCAGCAGGCAATGTTAACATGGAGGGGAGTGGAGGCAATTTGAGAGATGAGCTGGGCCTGAGGCATGGTGTCAAATGCCTTACTGGATTCTATTGCCATTGCAATTGTCCTTGTTAGTGGGTGGTGCTGGTTGAAACCTTGGGGCTTGCATCATCTGTAACTGTGACTGGCTTTTTGTTTTGGCATGGATTGTGCCCATGTCACTTCCTGTCTGACTTGTCCAAGTTTTGAATAATGTCACATGCCATTTCACCACTTGACACTTGTACCTCTGAAGTTGTAATATGGTCTGGAGCTTTTGAATAGTCAGTGAAGAATAATATGCATCTACCTTAACTGAACCAATTATGTATCCTTGTATGAA